TTTCTCTAGTATCTGCATGCGCTTGAGCACAGAAATCGCCCATTCGCGTCCTTCAGCCGTGGCTTCCACCACTCCTCGGCACAGTTTCAAACTTGGGTTTCCAGCTTCTCCATAAGTCGATGGAGAATTGTACTTTGTTCGCCTCGAGAAACACCTCCTGCGCACATAAACTGAACAGTCCTTCACCAGCGTGCAATAGCCATTGTGCTGCAACAGATGGCTGTGGTTCATATTGGGCGGGCTTATACTCATGTTCTTGCGTTGCCGCTTGTGATTCTGGTAGAGGAGCCTGTGTCATGGGCTCCTGAATTACAAAAGACCACGGTCGAAAGACTGCGCTGATATCTGCACTTTCTAATATGCCAGCTGCGAAAAGGCGAGCTAGGAATTCCGAAAACTTTATATGTCTCTGGTTCGTGTCCGAGTCTATGTCAACCTGTTTTCGTAGTGTACATTCCACAAATAGCCAAAGTCTATGTCTCTAGAATATCCAACCATGAGAGGGACCTTGTATCGAGGCAATTTCCATAATTCTTGTATAAACTTCACAATCCGGTTCTGGCCTGCACGATTCGACGGTACTCGTATTGAGATCAAGTTCACACTCATCCATACGAGGCTCTATAAAGTGTCTGGATTCGGTCTTCGAATTCTCCCATTCTCAAGTTGTTGTGGCGTTGGGTTTTGAATCTTTTTGCACATCTCGAAACATTGTTCCAGGTCGGCTCGGATAGACTCGTCAACAATTTCGGCGGCATAGATTGGGAGCATGTAGCCATTCACTATATCTTCTAAGGCCTATGTAATTTTAAATTGGGCTTGCGAATCTTTAGGGTCGCAAAGTTGTAGGTCAATGTACCGAGACATGTTGAAAATGAGCTAGACGAAACGGTATTATCATGAAGGCAGTCTTGTGACGACAGCGAGAAGCAGCCAAAGATATGATGGCTCTTATGAGTCCCGACAACAACAAGGGTTGGGGAATATTCAAAAAGAAGTCCCAACAACGAAGCCCGCGAGAAAAGAAGCAAAGAAGTATTTATTTATTTATTTATTTTTTTTTTTTAAAAAAAACGCCAGAATAATAACAATAACTTTTAAGAAGGATTATCTGGACATCCCCACCTTCACTGACCTGCTCGGCACATTTACACGAAGCAAGGCCGTTCAACATGCAGATTGCTCCTTCGGAGTCCTTCCTCGGCACTTTTTGGTGGGGCAATCGCAACCCACGCCTGTCTAAGGTGTAGCGCCTCCCCTTCGTGGTGGGTACCAGTAGTGTTACCCATACCAAACAAGTCGCATGTCACCGGGTCGGACGTCAGACCTCAACTGCTAACTAGTACTGCAGCTCGGGCACCCGTTATTCCTTTCGCGGAACCTCCCGCTCTGCCAGAATAAGGTATTCGACTTTCTTCTGTGGAGCCTATCGTATGGCTTCAGTACTCCTTACGCCAGAATGGACAGCTCTCAGGCACCTTTAATGGCGGACAACCGCGAAGGGGACGATGTGGAGGCTGAGGACGACAACGTCCGTCAGGAACGCCTCACCAAAGACATTGATGCGAATCCTAGTGTCTTTGTCGTGGCACTGACCGTTGCGGCAGGAATCAGTGGGCTTCTTTTCGGATGTAAGCCAAAGCCGCGATAATATGTTTTGCAGCTTGACTCTATTCTAACCGCGTATTCCAGACGATACAGGTGTTATATCTGCTACGCTAGTGTCAATCGGAACGTCGTTGTCGAATCGCGAGCTCACATCTATGGACAAGTCTATTGTCACATCCTCAACATCGTTCTTTGCTCTCCTCATCTCACCTTTTTCTTCCGTGCTTGCCGACCGCCTTGGCCGTAAACGAGTTGTACTATATGCCGATGTTCTGTTCATCCTTGGAGCTGTTCTCCAGGCAATATGCTCCACTGTGCCTGTTATGGTTGCCGGACGCTGCATCATAGGAGCAGGTGTTGGAGCGGCAAGCTTTGTGGTGCCGTTATATATCGCAGAACTGGCTCCAGCGTCGCATCGGGGGAGGCTAGTTACGGCAACAGTCTTGTTCATCACACTGGGACAAATGGTTGCCTATGTTGTCGGGTGGGCATTCTCCGCATATGGCTCCAAGGAGACGGGTTGGCGGTGGATGGTGGGACTTGGTGCTTTGCCCGCTGGTCTTCAAGCTGCAATTATTGTCTTCATGCCAGAGACACCTCGTTGGCTTGTCAAGGCGGGCAAGCCAGCACAAGCGAAGACCATCATTCAGCGAGTCAATGGCGGAGCAGGGACTGTGGAGGACGCAAGCGCGATAATCAAGGAGATCGAAATAGAAATTCGCGAGGAAGAGAATCTTGGACGACGTCGAGATCAACAGTCCACAAGATGGAAGTGGCTTGGAGCCTGGCGGGATCTACTTGGTGAAGCGAAGAACCAACGAGCCTTGGCGATTGCATGTTTACTGCAAGGCCTGCAGCAGCTGTGTGGATTTGTATGTACACGAAAATGCAGAACGGCGCTTGATGTTGTTTTCGGAAATTATTGCTGACGGATGACGCAGAACTCTCTCATGTACTTTTCGGCCACAATCTTTACTGCTGTCGGCTTCAGCACTCCAACATTAACATCACTGACTGTCGCAGTCACCAACTTTGTGTTCACACTGGTGGCACTGGGACTCGTTGATCGAATAGGAAGACGGCGAGTCTTGCTGTATTCTATACCCTTTATGATTTTGGGCTTATTGTGCACGGCGGCTGGGTTCTCTTTTCTTCCGTCTGGCGTCACGAATTCTCAAACTCAGCCCCAGTCAGAATCCGGCAGTCACTGGGCTGCATACGTGATACTGATCAGCATCATGCTCTATGTGGCATCATATGGAATCGGATTAGGAAATGTGCCCTGGATGCAGAGTGAGCTGTTCCCTTTATCGGTCCGATCACTGGGAAGTGGCATCGCGACTGCGACGAACTGGAGCGCCAACTTTATTATTGGGCTGACTTTTTTACCGCTGATGGATGCTCTCAGCCCTTCGTGGACGTTTGTTTTGTATGCACTAGTATGTGGGACTGGATACGCATTGGTTTGGCGGATATATCCAGAGACAGCGGGCCTGAGTCTCGAGGAAGCCACTGCATTGCTAGAGCGAGGATGGGGCGTTTGAAACATTGAATATTGAGTATTCTGAGCCTGCACACGGGTGGCTGCCAAGTACATGGGTGGATAGCCGGATACTCTGCGACCCTGTGAGATAGAGTAGAAGCTATACATGATTGTAATTCAGGGCTTATCAATAGAAGCGAAGCCATGTCGCGTCGCAGGGACTCGGGTATTCCACGGTTTGCAGTGATGCCTCTCGACACCGCAGCTAGGAGAGCTAGGAGAATACAAAGGCAGTTCGACGACCCTGAAAATATGAAAGCTTGATACAAGGAGTGGCGCTAGAGTTGTCGGGGGTTATAGTATCACAAAAGCGATAGGAAAGGCAAGTGTTTCAAAAAAGCAAAAAACTGTGCAAACGATGAGATCGTCGGGTCTTTGGCGTCAATGTTTGCACCAGCCGAGCAACTCTAAGGCCCTGATCCTATAAACCGCGACTGAACGTCAGCCGGCTGGAAACACTGCATAACACGCACAATTATGGCGCTTACCCATTTTTAATAAGAGATTTACACATAAAGTTATAGACGAAACCCACATTATTTGTAAAACACTATTATTACACTAAGACCCCCTATCCATAATGTATTAAGCTAACAGGGACCGCGTAAATGCCTGTAAAAAGGCTTAAATGCCAAGCTTTCAGCTAATTTTACAGGCTAAAGGTAATCCGCCAAAACGTGCTACTAAACACATTATCATGCTGTTAATCAGCAAGACGTGGTGGAGTCAGTACGAGGGAAAACCCCCGCTGTACTTCAGTGGCGCAAGTCTCTCCTCCAGACGGCTGACGCTCAGTCGCGGTGTATAGGATCAGGGCCTATATTGAACCACCTGTGGACACCTGTGGACACCAGCTAATCACCAATTAACACAGGCCTATTAATCCCATGTCAGCAGATGCAGAGTCTCGAGAACCTGGCTGGTTTTAAAACTCTAGTATTATTTTTTGTCCGGCTCCACGATGGTCCACGTTAGGTCAGATAAACCCGATGGCCGGATGGCCGATGCTTTGTAATAATTACGTCGTTTTGCACATGGACCAGCGAGTGCGGGAGAAGAAAGCATGGAATTTTCCTACATCTGTACTCCGTACTGTTTGTTATGCACTAAGCGGTATTGTGGCTTATTTCAGCGGCGCTCTTGGCTGGGCGAATTCTGCATCGGCGTCAAAATGCCGAACGCAGTCCCGGCTGCAGAGATGATTGGTGCAAATTTCCGCGCAAGGGCCCCCCCCATTTTCCCCCGCCTGTTCTACTGGTTTACGGCCGTTATCCATGGCCCATTTTTCCACAAGTTTTTCGGTGGCTTGCTGCGGGCAAGACGGGAGAGCATCGGACATTCGCTCTCTTCCACGGGCTTTGGCATGATGCTCCCAGATGCTCTGTAGGCATTGTTGCATGTTGGTGACGCGCTATCCGTCCAATTCCTTGGCCCGGATCGGCCAAGGTCACTTGATTCCCCCAGGACTACTCCGTAACAACCAATAACTCTGTCCGACCCGATCCCGGATTGACTGGTTGCCCCACCAGCGATGTTATCGTCATTGAGCCATCAGGAATAGAGAGAGAAAAGCTTAACCTCATTTCATCTGCCCATCTCCTCCCCTGGGCGACGCCTTCTTTTTTTCCCTTCAACCGTCCCCCTCTTTTTGTGCCTTTTCTTTTTTTTTATTATAATTTTTAATCCATTGTTTCTGCCAGCGCTTCTCCTGAACCAGTTCGTCAGGAACCTTGGACTGTGGATCTTGTCGCCAAAACCCAGCGACACCAATCCAGCCCCCAACGTAGCAGCATTCCATACCTACAACGTCTGCTTTTTTTGTTCTTCTTTGAAAAACCACAAGGCAACCATGCCGATGGACATAGTGGGCCGAGAGCTCGCCGAAGCAGAAGCCGACGCCTCGCCAGAGCGTTATCAGCGACGGGCTAGCGACGAAATCGAGCGCGTCCTGTCCGCCTCATCAGCCTCTACATCCTCCGAGTCCAAAGACGGCGATGGTGCCTTCCGACGGAACATGAGCCGCGTCTCGACGCAGAATGACCTCGAGCGTCACCCCACAGAACTGAGTCGGATTGCCACCGCGCGAAGTCAGCATGATGCTACCGTGGGAGGAGGTCTCCGTAGTCGAACCGTGAGCAGGGCCTCGAAGAAACCGCTGCCAGCATTTGGTGCGGGAAAACCCTATCCGCCGCCGTTGCCCGAGCGAGAAGAGTACGTCGTCGAGTTTGACGGGCCTACCGATCCGTTGCATTCGCAGAACTGGCCTATGCGGAAGAAGGTCTTGACCGCAGCCATGTTGAGCTATACGACGCTCACCTCGGCCTTTACATCGTCCATCTTCTCCGCAGCCACGAGTTCCGTAGCTGCAGAGTATCACGTCGGATCCGAGGTCGGCCTGTTGGGAACGACGTTTTATGTGCTTGGGTTTGCCTTTGGTCCTACCCTGTGGGCTCCCATGTCCGAGTTGCGCGGCCGACGACTCCCCATTGTTTTGTCCATGTTTGGATTCTCGCTCTTCTCGATTGCTTGCGCAACGGGCAAGGACATCCAAACCATTCTCATTTGTCGATTCTTCTCGGGCTTGTTCGGCGCTTGTCCGCTCGCCGTCGTTGCCGCCGTCTTTTCAGACATGTTTGACAACAAGACGCGAGGTATTGCTGTCACCATCTTCTCCATGGCCACCTTACAGGGCCCCTCCTGGCCCCCTTCATCGGCGGCTTCATCGTCTCATCATATCTTGGCTGGCGATGGACAGAGTATCTCGCTTCCATCATGGGCTTTGTCGCCTTCATCCTCGACCTGTTCTTCCTAGAAGAGACCTACCCGCCCGTCATCTTGGTCGCCAAGGCTGCCGACTTGCGACGACGGACCAAGAACTGGGGCATTCACGCCAAGCAGGAAGAAATCGAAGTCGACTTCAAGGAACTCATCCAGAAGAACTTTTCTCGTCCCATGAGGCTCCTCTTTACCGAACCCATCATTCTCGCCCTCTCCATCTATATGAGTTTTATTTACGGCATCTTGTATCTTTTCCTGACCGCCTATCCGCTCGTCTTTGTCGGCGTTCACGGCTTCAATCCTGGAGAGAGCGGTCTTACCTTCTTTGGTATGATTACCGGACAGCTTCTGGCTGGTGCCGCGGTTATCCTGCAGCAGCCCTGGTATAATCGCAAACTAGCTGGGAACAATGGCATTCCTGTGCCCGAGTGGCGATTGCCTAGCGTCATGGCTGGGGGCATTTCCTTTGCCATTGGCATCTTCTGGTTCGGATGGTAAGCAACAGCTGTTTGCCCTTCTCCCCTTTCCCGACAACACAAATTATCAAACCAAAGCTAACAGTCATGGGTCTAGGACTGGATACACCAGCAGTATCCCCTGGATCGTCCCCGCCCTCAGCGGCATCTTCATCGGCTTCGGCCTCATGTCCATCTTCCTCCAAGCCCTCAACTACCTCGTTGACGCATACCTCATGTTCGCTGCCTCCGCCATTGCCGGTAACACATTCTTGCGATCTCTGGCAGGTGCCGGTTTTCCACTTTTTTCCCGCCAGATGTTTCAAGGAATGGGCATTCAATGGGCGGCTACGCTGCTTGGCTGTGTGGCCGTGGCGCTGGCTCCTATGCCCTTCGTTTTCAACAAGTACGGCAGCCGGATTCGTGCTAAGAGTGCGTATGCGCCTGCTTTTGCGGCGCCGGCCATGCAGAACAGCGAGGACGAGACGGGTGACTCGTCAATAGAAAAGGAGAGCGAGAATAATACCGCATTGGCCAGCGCACCCAAGAAGGACAGTGACAATGGAGTCTTGCAGAATGCTTAATGGAACTCATCATGTCAAATGTGTGCGGACGGGGGGTTTCATTTGCTATATCGATCCCCAGGTGTGCATGGCGTTATGATCAATGCCGAGGAGGTTTAATCTTGTTTAAATGTTAGTGGCATTTGGAGTTTTTTTTGGGAACCATGTTGGAAGGTCGACGTAGAAAAAAATAACCGCATCGCGGGCTTCTGCCATGCAAGCGGCGGGCATGGCACCGAACACAGTCACTTGTTCACAATGAACGGCTCAATGTATACCTACCTAGGTAGGTACTTTAGGTAGCTCAGCGGCGGCTGCAGAGGCTCATGACTTTTGCGGCTGACCACGCTTGCCATTTCATAGACTTCTTTAAAACCAAAGTGTCAAATATCACATTTCCGAGCCTCACAAACGCGTACCTGCTGCTGGTCTTTGGGACAAATAGGCCTGAATAGTTTGGCGATGTCGATTCGGACAGCTCATCTGTTATCGCATTTGAAAAGTGAAGTCACACAATGGCAGGGGCGTAGCGGTCCCATCCCCCAGGTTTTGCGCAGCCCATTGGGTATACGCCATCAGCCTCGCATAAGTATACGGAGTACTCCGTATCATGACCGGAAGTTCATAGGTTTTGACGCCACTTAGGTATGCACCTCAGCTTTTCCAGGAAATTTACAGCTGAAGGCTTGGATATTATGGGGAAAAGGCTTGGGAATTCAGCAGGACTTGTTTTATTAAGCTAAGCAAGGCAGACAATTGAGATCCCATATCTCTGGAGGTGAGCTTGTTTGCGTAGCCCCACAGGAGCTTGTGCGGCGGCAGGTGCAGATCGATTCCCACCTGTGCGACTGCCCCCCAGCCAAATACGTCATCGATAAGTGAATGACGGGTCATAGTCATCGTGACGGTGCGTCCACAAGCAAAACGTATTAAACGGCCAAGGCTGGCTCCTGGGGAAGAGATGTGCATTTATTCCTTATTCTTCTTCAGACGGCGTCGAATACCTATGCGAAACACCGGCGTACACGTCTGGTACGTCTGGTGCTTGGCCCACCAACACGACGACTTACATCTACAACAAGACGCGAGGATCACGCACGCCGCGTGTTGCCGACTACACCTCATCATCAGGCATTGGATCATGTAAAGGGGGAAATCAGAAGCAGCTGAAGCAATTATGAACCTCGACGATCACGTCGTGCCTTCGGGCCAACATTACAGCGGGCGCAATCGGGTCCCTAATATCCAGCAATTTATGGACCAGCTGGATGCGGAGAAGAAGGAGAGAGATGCCGCCATAGACGCCCAGCTGAGGGCAAATGAGCTGCACAAAGAAGCCCAAGACCATACGAAATCCGAGAAACCACTAAAGAAGGACTTGCGAACCGTGCGAGACCCCGTCACGGGCAAGGATGTTCAGATTCAAGACGCGAAGACGGATTTCAAAGAAGCCGTCGAAAACCCCCAGGTAAGAGAGCACACTTCAGAAATTGCTTTCGGCGGCAACCGTCTCTGACTTGGGCTCGAATTAGTTGTCTATTCCCAATGAGAATTTGGGCAAGGAGGCCACTATTGCTACGTCATCAAAGCAGTCCGGCGAGGAGTATCGGTATGCGCAGGATGTCACCGCCCCCCCGGATCCTGTTCAAGAAGGTTCCACTTCCGATGTGCCGATACGGAGCGAGAAAACATCCGTCCTATTCTACAAGACGCCCTCCGTTAGCTATGAGCCCATGTTTGCCACGTTGGAAAGAAAAGGCAACGTGCTGTGCGCTGGCATCTTCGTCGCGGTCATCCTTGTTGGCAAGTTCTTCGGCGGACGGCTGCTGGGCCTTGTTCCCTTGGGCTTTTGCATTGCCTCGGGCGTGTTCCTGTGGATAAAGGATCTCATTCGCCAAGGACGGGATCTTGAGTGGTCTAGCGAGCAAGAACGAGGCAAGACTGCCACTGTCAACCTCATTCCAGAATCTGTGGAATGGATGAATACCATGATTGGGCTCATGTGGGGGTTGATTAACCCCGAGATGTTTGCCTCTGTTGCTGACACGTTCGTACAAGATAATGACCCCATTTGCATCTAACATTGCTCTGCGTTGCTAACAGACTACTGATAGGCTGGAGGATGTCATGCAGGCCTCTGTCCCAGGCATTGTGGAAAATGTGCGAGTCGCCGATATTTCCCAAGGCAGCAATCCAATCCGGATTCTCAACATTCGAGCTTTGCCAGATAGCCATGTAAAGGATATCAAGGACGAAATCCACAAGGAAAACGAAAAGAAAATGGACAAGGACGAACTCGCGGCATTTGAACAGGCCGGAGAATTTTACAATATGGAAGTCTCCATTGCATACCACGCCAAGCCTTCGGGCGAGGATGTTGCATCAAAGGCCAAGAACATGGGCATGCAGCTTGTCTTCTATCTCGGCATCAAGGGGCTGTTTGGCGTTCCCCTTCCAATTTGGGTCGAACTCATTGGTCTCGTTGCCACTGCTCGCATCCGATGCCAATTGACTCCCGACCCGCCATTCTTGAAGACTGTTTCCTTCACGCTGATGGGAGTCCCTCACGTCCAGGCTGGCTGTACGCCCATGATTGAAAAGGGTGTCAACATCTTGAACCTCCCCTTGATCTCCAATTTCGTGAACTGGGCCATCGGCGCTGCGGCATCCATGTATGTGGCGCCAAAGAGTATGACGCTTGACATGAGCAAAATGTTGCAAGGCGATGACATTAAGAAAGAGACCCAAGCGCTGGGAGTCATGTTCATCCGAATTCACAAAGCCACCGGACTCAGCAAACAGGATCAGAGAGGTAGTAAAGGCGGCGGTTCTGACCCGTACATCACCGTCAGCTGGAGCAAGTTTGGGAAACCTCAGTTCTGCACCCGCGTCATCCAAGATGATCTCAATCCTGTCTTTGAGGAAACATGCGGCCTCCTGGTGACGAGTGACCTCATCAAGGCAGATGAGCAGCTATCAATGGAGCTCTGGGACAGCGACCGGTCTTCAGCTGATGATGTTGTTGGCAAGGTAGAACTCAGCATTCAAAAGCTCATCCAGCATCCTGGAAAGATGTTCCCCCAGGTTTCAAAGCTTCGTGGCGTCAAGGCCGACAGCACTATGCCGGGTGAACTTCATTGGGAGGTTGGCTTCTTCGGCAAGACGCAGTTCCGCAAGGCTCTTCGTACCCACGGAAAGGACTTGAAGCTGCCCAAGGAACTCGCCGATAAAGCCGAATTACGGGAGGAAAAGGGTACCATCACCAACGAGGAAGAGGAGGCCGTTGTGCATACTCCTCCTGATCCTCTCTGGCCTTCGGGTATCCTTAGCGTCGTCGTACACCAAATCGTCGGTCTCGAACTTGCCAATATCAAGGGGTCGGATGGGAAGCGCAAAGGCAAGGAGTACGAGCCTGCTCGGCCCGAGGCGGGCGAGGTAAAGGAAGAGCAAAGCCGAAGACTCCCCAGTTCCTATTGCACTATTCTTGTCAATGATGATTTGGTATACAAGACGCGCGTCAAGGTGGTGTCATCTCAGCCCATCTTCAACGCTGGCACAGAGAAGTTTATCCGAGACTGGAGGTCCAGCGTCGTCACAGTTTCGGTGCGAGATTCTCGCAATCGTCAGCACGATCCCTTGATTGGCGTCGTGCCGCTAAAGCTGTCAGACATCTTGCAGACGAGTAGCCAATCGACCCGATGGTACCCCCTCGACGGAGGCATTGGGTTCGGCCGTATCCGAATTTCTATCCTTTTCCGCTCAGTTGAGCTCAGGCTTCCACCTCCTCAGCTTGGTTGGGATATTGGAACCTTTGAGTTCTTGTCTGAAGCGATTACAACAACTGGGTACGCCCCCGGTTCCAAGGTCAAGCTCAGGCTGCGAACCGGAGGGTCCTCCGCAAGTATTAAGCGTCAGTTTTCCTCAAAGGACGCTGACGGCCTCAAGATTGATATTTCTGGCGGTCAGGACGGCAAGAAGCTGCGTCTCCCGGTTCGCCATCGATACAGATCGCCGATTTTCATTGAATTTTACCCAGCGGGTAGCCGACATGCAGACGCCTACGCTGCCTTGTGGCTGCTGGAGCTTGTGGATGGCGAAGAAAAGGACTTTGATGTACCGATTTTCAAGTGTGACAACAGCGTCCGCCTCTCGCAGAACTACATCACGCAGGAGAACTATAGGGAAATTCCAGATACGTACATCGAACAAGTCGGCAGGGTCAAGTTTAGGGGCCGCTTCTCCCCGGGCACAGACTCTGACCACATCAGGTTCGTCAGCGACAACGACTCCCGGGAGACAATAGAAAGCTGGGAGGCCTGTTACGCGGAGGGCGTCAGACAACAGGAAGTCCGAGCCGAGGTGCCCCCGCTTGTGCAAAAGCTGCACGACCAGTCGCTAACACAGGGCCGTGATGTCCTCGCGCAGGCCGACGACAAGGAGAAGGAGAAGTGGATGGCCAAGGACGGCACAGACTGGAGCGGAGCGTTCGGACAAGACCCAAAGCAGCTTATGGCTCGACGAGCCGAGGCTCAAGGAGACAGTGAAGCGTACGATGACTTTGATGAGGATGGTGATTATGACAATGACAATGACGATGACGACGACGACGATGATGATGATGATAACCCTAACCTTGGTATCCACGACGCGGTATCAGACCCATCTCGCCCGTCTGAGGGCAGTGATGCTGGCCGTCGGTCCATGGACACGGATATAACGAGTGGTAGCAGCGCGTCTCAGACAGGTAGTAGCAAGAATCCGTACAAGGCTTACAAGGATTACAAAGGCCATAGCAGGGACTTGCATCGCAAGCACAGAGGGTTGATGCAGTGGCGTCCGATGCGCAACGCCCAGTTTGCCAAAGACGAGGCCAAGTTTGCCCTGAGAAAAGTCACCAAGCTCGGGGCACTTGATGGTCGTGAACCGGACGTGGAAACGGAAGTCTGAGTAGAATCGGAGCGGGGCAATGATTTATGATTTCTCACGGTTACGCGCCTCGTTGGGCCTGTGTAAGGCTGCGA